CAGACACCGTTGGCGGTGCGACTGAGGGCATTGCCAACAAGTCAGAAGCCACCTCCCAAGCTACCGACACAAAGACACCAGCCGAGACTCCTGGAGCTCCAGAGGTCAAGGATGAGACACCCGATGTCAAGTCCGAAGACCAAGACCAGAAGGACATCAGCCTCGAGGACCGCGACGCTCCTGAAGCTGGAGATAAGCTGAAGGAGATTCCCCCAGAGTCCGAGGAGGCCAAGGAGGCAACCGGCAAGGTAGAGGAGACTGCTGAGGGTGTTCCTGAACAAGCCAAGGATATCCCTGAGGAGGCTAAGGAGGACGTTACCTCCAAGGTCGACGAGCAAGACGTTCCTAAGCCTGAGGATGTCGAGGAAAAGCTTCAGGAGAAGACTGAGGGCGCCCAGGACGAGGTTCCCAAGTCTGAGGCTGCTGACGAGATCCCCAGCGGTGAAGCCCCTGGTGATGACGGTGACAAGTCCAAGGCTGGTGATGACCTGAAGTCTGTCGCTCCCGGCGAGGAGGCTGCTGGTGTCACCGATGAGGTCCAGGACAAGGCTGCCGAAGGCGAAGAGGCCGCTAAGGATCTACCTGAGGATGCCCAAAGCAAGGCCGCCGAGGGTCAAGAAGCCGCTGAGGGCAAGGTTGCTGAGGGTGAGGAAGCTGCTGCTGACCTCCCCGAGGACGCCAAGAGCAAGGCTGCCGAGGGTGAAGAGACTGCTGAAGGTAAGGTTGCCGAAGGCGAGGAGGCCGCTGAGGATCTTCCTGAAGACGCCCAGAGCAAGGTTGCTGAAGGCGAAGAGGCCACAGAGGGCAAAATCGCTGAAGGCGAGGAGACTGCCGAAGGCAAGGTTGCCGAGGGCGAGGAAGTTGCTGGCGATGTCACCGAGGAGGCCAAGGACAAGGCCGCCGAGGGTGAAGAAGCCGTTGAAGAGAAGGCTGCTGAGGGCGAGGAGGCTGCCAAGGAGCTCGACTTCTCCATCCTCAAGGGCACTACTGTCGACAAGGAGGGCAACCTCGTCAACGAGAAGGGCGACAAGCTCGGCAAGGTTGTCGAGGGAGAGCTCAAGCAACTCATCGGTCTCAGCAGTGACGACCAAGGTGTCATCTGGGACAAGACCGGCAAGCAGCTCGGAAAGGCTGAGCCCATCCCCGAGTGGGACCGCGAGCAGCTTGACTTCTCCGTCCTCAAGGGTACCACCGTCGACAAGGAGGGTAACCTCGTCAACGACAAGGGCCATCTCATCGGCAAGGTCACTGAGGGCGAAATCAAGCAACTCATTGGCCTCACTGCTGATGAGCAGGGCACCATTTGGGATAAGACTGGCAAGAAGGTCGGAAAGGCCGAGCCTCTTCCTGAGTGGGAGCGTGGTGAGCAGAAGGATTACAGCATCCTAAAGGGCACCACTGTTGACAAGAACGGAAACCTCGTCAACGAGAAGGGTCACCTCTTCGGTAAGGTCGTTGAGGGTGAGATCAAGCAGCTCATTGGCTTGGCTTCTGATGACCAGGGTACCATCTGGGACAAGACTGGTAAGGCCGTTGGTAAGGCTGAGCCTCTTCCCGAATGGGAGCGTGGTGAGCAGAAGGACTTCTCTATCCTCAAGGGAGCTGTTGTCGACAAGGAGGGTGGTCTTACCAACGACAAGGGAGACACCATCGGCAAGGTCACCGAGGGTGAGATCCGACAGCTCGTTGGTCTCAAGTCTGACGAGAACGGCAAGATCTGGAGAGACGGCAAGGTCGTCGGCCAGGCTGAGCCACTCGCTGAGTGGGACCGCGTCCAGAAGAAGGATCGTTCCATCCTCAAGGGCGCCAAGGTCAACAAGGTCGGCAAGCTCGTCGACGCCAACGGTACAGTTGTCGGCAAGGTTGTTGAGGGTGAACTGAAGGAGCTCATTGGCAAGCGCGCCGATGAGAACGGTGACATCTGGAATGACTCCGGCGAGGTCATCGGTAAGGGTGAGCCTGTCTCCATCTCTGAGCGTGAGGACAAGGCATCCGCCCCCTTCGAGCACTTCCCCGGCGCCACCGTCGAGTCTGACGGCCGTGTCATGTACCAGGGCGAGCAGGTTGGTGAGGTCGTTGAGGGTGATCCCAAGCAGCTCAAGGGCAGCGAGGTCGATGAGGATGGTGACATTCTCGACCGCCGTGGCAACACTGTCGGTAAGGCCAAGCGCTGGGAAGCTCCTGAGGCTGAGGAGGAGAAGCCCGTCGACAACTCTGCTCTTGCTGGCAAGCGCGTCAACAAGGCCGGTAACCTCGTCAGCGAGTCTGGCGAAATCTACGGCCGTGTCATCGAGGGTGATGTCCAGAAGCTTGTCGGACGCATGTCTGACAAGGACGGAAACATCCGAAGTGAGTCTGGCGACATTATTGGCAAGGCGGAGCTCGTCTCTGAGGGTGAGCGCGGTGGCAAGAAGGAGGGTCCCTTCGCTCAGCTCAAGAACTGCACCGTCGGCAAGGATGGTAAGGTCGTCAACGGAGCTGGCGAGGTTGTTGGTAAGCTTGTCATCGGTGACTCTAAGGCTCTTGCTGGACGTGCTGTTGATGATGACGGTGAGATCACCGACTCCAACGGCAATGTCATCGGCAAGGCTGAGCGCTGGGAGGAGCCTGAGAAGGAGCAGAAGCACAACCCTCTCGCTGGCCGAAAGGTGAACCGCGAGGGTAACGTCGTCGACGCTGATGGCAACATCATCGGCAAGCTTACAAGCGGTGAGCTCCTCGACTGTGCTGGCAAGGAGATCGACGAGGATGGTGATGTCTTCAACCAGAAGGGATCCGTCATCGGTCACGTCTCTCTTCTCGAGGATATCCCCAAGGAGGAGGAGGAGCCTGAGCCTGAGGGCGAGACTGAGGAGGAGAGACTCAAGCGCGAGCAGGCTGAGGCCGATGAGGCCAAGCAGACCGAGGAGGCTGAGAAGAACAAGAAGCTTGCTCAACAACTGGCTTACCAGATTGAGCAGACTCTTGAGAGGCTCCGACCCATCTGCAAGTCCATCAACGACAAGATCAGCGCTGCTGAGGCTCAGAAGCCCGAGGATCGTGATGAAGAGGAACTCGTCCGACAGGTCAAGCCTCTCATTGAGGATGGTGGTAAGATCCTGACCGAGACCAACGGCATCATCCGTGGTCTTGACCCCGATGGCCGTATCGCTCGCAACGCCAAGCAGAAGACTGCTGGTGGTGAGGCTACTCCCGAGGAGGCTCACCTCGCCAACTTGCTCAAGGAGGTTAGTATCACGTTTCCTTACCCCGAAGCATTCGCTAACAAGATGACAGCTCTCTACTGAGATTCAAACCACCATCGAGGAGGGTAAGCGCAAGCTCGAGGGTATGCCTCATGCCAAGAAGGAGATCAACCCTCTCTGGGGTCTCCTCGCCGAGCCTCTCTTCCAGATTGTCGCTGCTGTTGGTCTATTGCTCAGCGGTGTGCTCGGCCTTGTTGGCAAGCTTCTCGGTCCCATCCTGGGTCCTCTGGTATGTTCCAACCATTCATCTTCACAATCAATTGATCATCTCGCTAACAATATCTTCAGCTCAACGGTCTTGGTCTTGGTGGTCTGCTCGATGGTCTTCTCGGAGGTCTTGGTCTCAAGAAGATCCTCGGTAGCCTTGGTCTTGGTGACGTCGTCGGCACAGTCACCGGTAAGAAATAAACAAGTTTTAATGGTTGGTTAATGGGTATCTTTTAATGAATTATATCTTGGGAATCTTTGGGAATGGAATTTGTATGAATAGTTCGGAGTTTTGTCTTGTTTAGCTTTACGAATTTCACGATTTAGTTGGCCAATAATGTTGCGCATTGAAATGAAGTGAAAATCCCAGAGTGCGCTCAATTGGAGCTAGCTCACTTGAAGACTAGCTCCAAAACTGATGAGTCAGCACGAAATCTGCACTACAAATTTCTGACTTTTTTCTCCTCCAGCTCTCTCAACCATCAACAATCACCATGCCCAGCTTGCTTCTGGCGTGGCCTTCCTGAACGATGCAACGATGCGTCTCTTCCTCATACGCCATGGAGAGACAGTCGACAACGTCGCAAACCTCTATGCCGGGTCTCGCGACTCAGCCTTGACTGCCCACGGTGTCATGCAAGCTCAACGGTTAGCATCGCACCTCTCTGAGCACGTCACCATTGATCGCATCTTCTCGTCGAACCTCAGCCGCGCAGTGTATACTGCCCAGGCTATCCTCGATGCGCAGAAACGCGCGGAGGATCTGAAATTGATTCAGGTGCCGGAGCTGAGGGAGAAGGACTTTGGGTCGGGCGAGGGCGCCAAGTTTGGGGCTGCGGCGAAGCATGAGGGCTCTGAGACACCGCTGGCGATGAGAAAGAGGGTTGATGTTTTCTTGGACGAGCATTTGCCTCGACTGGATGAAGACTCAACCGTCTGCATCGTTGCTCACGGTATCATTCTCGGCACTTTCTACAAAGCACTTCGCGATAGGACCTCTTCATCAGCTGGTCCAGATGCCGAACCGGAAGGTCAAGCATCTGCCTTTATGCGTCCTTCATGGAGCAACACCGGTTACATCGAGGCCCTCATCACACGCGGCTCTTCCGACAAGCATCTCCACATGCGCGTCGTGAAGATCAACAGCGTCGACCACCTCAAAGGTCTGAGAAAGACCCGAGGTGGAATTGGCAGCGCCAAGTTCGACGCGAAACAAAAGACGATGGACTCATTCTTCAAGCCAACATCGCGAAAGCGCAAGCTTGAAGATGAGGACATCGTATCTCGCTAAATGGTATGTCAATTTTTTCTCTTCTACTCACAACACTCCCAAGCTTTATGATGAAGAAGCAATTACACAGACCTGTACTGAAATACATAATGTGGAAACAATTTTGTCCAACCGCTGTCTGACAGCTTGTTCACAAATCATCTTTGTTGTCATTTTCTATGGCAACACTGGCTAACGATGAACTCATAGGTCTCATTAGAATTACATCGTAACATAATTGATGGTTTTCATAGAATCATTACACATAATACACTATTCTAAACATCTGTGCTTGTCTCGTCCACTCCCGTAAAAACTTTGTACATGCGTCGACTTACTGCTTGGCCAACCATGCGATCTGAGAAAGCACCATCTTTGTTTGCGCTCTTCTTCACGCCTTCGAGAAGGGTTGGCCCGCGCTCTTCCAAGCCTCGAACCAAGCTGCTGACGGTGCCAAATTCCGCCGCGATTCCATATGCAATGGGGGCTGTGACTCGTACAATCTCTTGCAGCATTCGGATGTAGGTGTCTTTGGCGTCCTCGCCTGTCTTCACCTGTCCGCTCTCCATGCAAAACCCTGCTCCGAGTGTCGCGATGTCTCGTTGTTTTCGGTAAGGTATTGTTGAGATGTGCTGGGTGAATGTAAGGATCTGCTCCGCTGTTTCCATCGGTATCATAGTGTGATGGATCAAAACTTCATGCATCACCTGCAGTTGCAACAACGCATCTTCAATCAACTCCTCGGATACGTACTCTGGAGGGGGATTGTTGTTTCGTCGACGACCTGCAGTAGAAGCCGCAGCCTCCTGAGCCCGAACATTCGATGCAAATTGACGATTACGAAGGCCTCTGTTCTTGCGCATCCAAGGTGTGAGACCCTCGATCAAGTAGACGAGAGAATGATCAGCAAAATGTCTTTGCATCTTGCCAACGTGAGTTGAGATCTGGTCGTCCTGCGCCAGCTTCACAAACTCATCGGCATGCATCACAACGAGAGCATGCTTCTCATCCTCGAGGCGAAGAGGTATTGGCTCCCAGAGACCAATCTCGTCGTTGTATCGACTGCGAACCTTTCTTCGCCATTTGATCACATTGTCGACCGGGCTATCCCAAGTTGTGTACTGCACATCAAAGGGTTCTAGCATAGTCTGGAGCTCAGTTGTGACCGTGGCATTTAGACTCGAAGGAATATCGACCATCATTTCTGGCGTCGAGACCTTTTTGTCTGTACGTAGCTTGTTGACCTCTGCCAGCGCAGCAGTGCGTTCCTTTTCACGAAGTTTGGCTTCCTTTGCTTCTTGCTTCTCACGTCGCTTAGCCTCTTTTTCGACTTCTTTGGCTGCTGCCTTTGCTTCTTTTTCTCGTGCTCGCTCTTCTGCTGACTTTGTATTCGAAGATGCGGGCTTTGTTCGAGATCTAGATGACACAACATCGCTTTGTGAGCGCTGAAGTCGTGATCGACGTCGCATCTTGGCAACATCGAAAGAAGCGATATCTGGCAATTCGTCCTCGGAACCGTCCTCGCCATCGGAGTCGTCAATGTCAATAACGGTATTGTTCCTCTGTGGCGGCGATGAATCGAAAGAGAAGACATCTGGCGCCGAACTGGAGATTGGATCCCATGTAGCATTCTTCTTTGGGGCTGGCTTTGGCGCAGGTTTTGGCGGAGGCGCAGGCGGTGATGTTATGATAGCCTCGGGCACCTTAGTCGTTATCGGCGCTTGATGGGGTGAACTTGCAAAAGGGTCGGAAGATTCTATAGGTCTTGCGAGGGGCTTCGGTTTCGGGGGGGATCGTCGGACCGGTTGTGGTGAACTTGCGAAAGGATCAGAGTCTTCAGCGTCAAGCGATTGATTAGTGGGCTTGCTGATAGTATCTGTCGAGGGTTTGCCACTAAAGGCCGAATGTTCCAGCTGGCCATGTGATTCGAATATTGGAGAACTTGTAAGTTCTATAGGATCAGAAGCGACGGAAGCTCGCCCGTTCGTTCGCACAGGCGGAAGAATCGTTTGCGGTTCTGGAGCTGGGGAAATGCGCTTGAGCGGAGGTGGTTGCGCTGGAGGAGAAAGGCATCGTCTCTTGTTCGAATTTGCATCGACCAGTATTGGCTCGTCAAGATCTATAGTTGTGTCGAAATCATCGGAAAGAAACAGTCCTGGCGATGCTGAATGTGTTGTGTTGATACTTGGTAGGTGTCGCTTCTCTGGTTCAACGATGCGATTGGTCTCGGGTACTTGCGCAGAGGTTGGGATGGACTGGCTTGGTGGCGGACTCGATGAGATGAGATCAATCACGTCGGGTGCCATTTTGTTGGGGATATTTGGACGAGTACCATTGACGATCGTTAATTTGAGGCTGAGGCTCTCTACGGTCAATGGCGGGGCGCGCTGTGACGCGACGACCTTGATCTGGATGGCACACGAAAAACGCCAAAGTCACGTGTAGTTATCAAGGAACTTGCCACTCAGCACTGTCAGGTGAATATAAGATGAGATACAATAAAGTCATGTTATACACGACTACATGCACTTTCATTGAGTAGTAGTCATTGGGATCAGTGTAGAAACTTGTGTTAGTCCATCACAGATCTTGGCTCCCTGTATGTGAAGTAGCCTATAGCTCCCGCGAGACTGGACAAGAGCCATCCGTCTTGTTATCTTTTCCATACACTTTCTCGTCGAAATTTGGCAGCCGTCATGTGGTCTCAGAGGCTTGCCCGTATGAGGCTTGTGCTTCCTTGATAAAATTGGTTGGAAACGTTGGGGCAATGCCAAGTTCATGCCTTTTTTGGGATTAACACAAAATCTATAGAGTACAGCATCCACGATAGTCACCGGGCACCGATCTCCAAGTCTACGCTCCAGACAAGTACCAGCTCTCCATTTATAATTGCGCCTTCCGTAAGTGGTGGCAGAGCTCCATTGGCATATAGTCCAGGTGATCCTCGCAAACTACGATCACTTGAGGCATGGAGGAGAAAAGAGACATACTCAAATGAGGCATCATCTCGTATTTGATCCTAGGAGAATAAAAGCCATGTCCTTAGCATAATGATAAGACTTGGTCGAAAAAATAATAATACTGTCGATTATAGCTTAAGATATAGACCCTCCTCCGAAGCGAAGTCCGATTGATGACGATCCCAATGGCGAGGATTGAGGCTCATATCTAAGCCAGAATCCCGTGCTATACCACGACGTTTTATTGGCGATACATCATATATACTGACTCGTCTCTCAGTCTCCAACTACCTTTGCTCCCTGATGCAAGCTTCAACCTTTAGTGCCGTTCCTCGATAGGGTAAACTGCTTAGCGAACACAACATGCGCCAGTAACCAAGCTGTGCAACGTCACATCGTGACGTTGTAAAGACTCAATGAGGAGGCACAACATCTTGGCGTTTCTCAAAAGGAAGTCGAAGCAAGAGTCAGTATCTATAATTCATGGCATATGGACGGCTCAGGGTAGGGACAGGGATGAATATAGGGATTGTCTATCCTGCAGAGGAACAGTAACATTGCGATAACAAAAGTTTCATGTTTAATCACAAGGCCCTGTGAATAGTTGCAGTGTCTCTATCTCTCCATCGATATGGACTATTACCAAGGTACATAGTCTATATAGCAGTGTTTGGAGCTACCGTGGTGGTCAGCAGTGTGTTTGGTAGATCCAACTAGCGAAGTGGAGGTATAGTATGTTAATACAATCCACATCTTATATCCGTTACCATGGTGTCTGTCCACTCTAAGAGTTCAACTCTTGACTCGTTTTCTCATGGAGATATTGTCTCAGTGGCACCGACCGTCTTGTTGTTTTGATAGTGGATAAGCTGACCATTGACAGCTACTGTGACAACCAAAATCCCTGGCGATTTTATGTAAGTGGGCGTTGAAGCAACAAGCGAGAACGAAATTCTTAAGGCTGACGAATAAGACAGGCTCAGCCGCCGAGGTGTCTGGTAGTTCATGCTGGCAACGTGCATGCATTCCATTGACGAAGTGGCTTTTTTTTGGTGAGACATATGTCTCAGACAATCAGACATGCTGTGCCTGACATCTCGATGCAACAACGGCCTTGCTAGGCCGGCAAGAGAGTCTAACAAGGACCAACAGTTCGTAACCTTCAATAACTGACCGTTGAACACTTGTCAGGTCATGTAAGATTGTTCAAAAGAAGAAATGATAGTGACAGGTTCAAAGTATCAAGGTTTCATTGGGATCAGGAGTGGGGGCTTGGACCTGAAACATACCGTGGGCGTGGTGTGTTTGACCCCCGCGATTTGCTTCCGCAGTTGAATGCGACTCAAAACGCGGACAGAAACTATGCCGGTCACAGTAACTGTTTCCACATTTTGCTTTTCACGTCGCGAAATGATGCCATTCAATACTCCGTAACTGATGGATGGACCAAGAGACCTGGGCTCGCTTCAAACGGGGCGCCATGTGAGCTCCAGGCTAGGCTCAGTGGGACATGGGTAAAGGGCTGAAAAGACAGTCTCAGGTTGCTAATTATCTACGTAGTATTATCCTACGGAGTATTTTAGGGGACGATCGTCTGAGTCTCTGAGACCCTGGATCTTACTGTAACAGGAGATGGGATGAAAGTTAAAGGAGATAGTTGAACTTGATGGGTTAGTCATCGGGGGGATCTTGATAGTTGTCTCGGGCGCCAAAAGCAACGAAACTGTTAAGTTAAACGGGATGGTGTGCATGGGGCGGTTGCTGGTGCATTTCGTGTAGCATTGTCTGCAGCGTGATACGCGTCGATGTTCGTGATAATTATCAAGGTACTTGCATATGTATTTTGCTGCGTGACCGCCATAACCGCAAGGGGGGTTAGTTCTGATATGGGGTCAAGCTGACAACGCATCAAGAGGGGACGTTGAAAACTCTGTCGACGACACAAGACATCAAGTTCGCCGTTGAGTCAATGTCTAACGGTATTCTTCTCTTCTTCTATGGAAACTTGGCGTGAAACCGGTATATCGGTTACCGTTCTTGCATTGGTTTGATGACATCCAGCCATATCCATCCGACAAAACGTGACGATGTGCCGCTAAGTTAGTTTGGACGCGTCGGATATTAGAGTCAGCCCCTGAACAGAAAGAACAGAAAAGATCGCCTCGGGCTGAAGAGGCATTTGAATTGGTCCGAGAGACTAATCAAGGTGGTTGGTTTGGTTTGACTTTATTGCTTGTATGGAGGTTCATACCAAAAGTCTTTGCTGGCGCTAAAATCACGTTAAGTAAGGTAAAAGAGCTGGTATCTAAAAATATTAATTTTTATGCCTATTTATCCCTGCCTTCTTTATACTTATTTCTACCTTCTAAAGCTATAATTTTTTAAATATATATAGGAATTCTCTCTATCTATATTTAGATCTGCTTTTATAGAAGGTTATTTTATATAGCCTCTTACTTATAAATAGCTTCCTTTTTATTCTTTAAAGCACCTTTTTTTATTATTATCCTCTTTATTTATAGCTAAATAGGCTTAATAGCATTTAAATTTAATAAATTTAAATACTAAAAAAGTCTTTAAACTCCCTTAATGTTATATAAAAGCTGCTATATATAGTATTTATAACTAAAAGCTTAATCTTTTTATATAAAGGTATTTAATCTTTTCTTTTTATATTTTTTTATAAAAGAAAGTAATTTAAAAATTAAGATCTTAATATAGTATTATTATTAATTAATATTGCCTTTTTTTTCCTTTTTTATTAGCTTACTATTAGCCTTATTTTAAGACTATATAGGCTTTTTATTTAATAGGTTATAAAGCCTTAGCCTTTTTATTTTATTTTTAAGCTTTTATTTCTTTTTTATAACTAACTTAAGCTTTTTATTTATTATTTATATTGCCTTTTTAGCTTTTTTTTCTCTTTTAAGGTTTCTAGAAATTAATAATAATAAAGACCTTTTTTATTATATAAAAAGTAAGCCTAAAATATAAACTTACTAAAGCCTTTCTATTTTTTATAAATATAATTATAAAGAAATTACTTTTTAAGCTACCTTTAAATATAATAGCTACTGCAATAATAAAAAAATATTATAGAAATCTTATCTAACTAAATTATAGCTTTTTAATCTTTAAAGGTCTAATCTTTATAAGTAATATATTATTTTAGGCACTCTTTCTTTATTACTGCAGTTAATTTAAGCTTTTTTATTAGCTTTATTTTTTTATATTTTATTAATTTAAAGATTTTATTAATAAATATTACTAAAATCTTAATGCCTTAATTATTAAACTTAATAAAGATATTAATAAGTATTTTTTCCTTATTAAATTAATTTATATTAACCTTAATAATAATTAGGCTATAATTTTTATTAATTTACTTTAGAGGCTACTTTAATTAAAAACTATCTTTAAGTTAAGTATTAATAAGCTTAAGGGAATATTTATTAGGCTTAAAGCCTCTTTTAATTATATAAAAATATATCTTATTAATTATATATTTAAAGATACTAATAAGAAGGTAGATTTAAGGTATAGTTTTTGCTTTTCTATAAAGCACTTTTAATATTACTACTAAAGCCTAAATTATAATATCTATTTTTATATATAGTATCTTCTTTATAAGTTAAAGAGAGAAAGAATAATATAAAAATTACTTATAGAAGATAGCTAATAAATTTAGTAGAGATACCCTATTTAAGTTTATAAGGGTAGTTGCTGATCCCTACTTGCCGGCAAAGACTTTTGGTATGAACCTCCATAAAGACGATCTTAAATAAGGCCTGATTAAGCGGTTTAACCCTCAACACCCATAAGGATTCGTTGCCTGTTGCTCGGGTCACTGGGATCGGCCAAGTTTGAAGTAGTGCGAGAACAAATGGAGTCTCTTATCAGGAATACGGCTTATGAATCAGTATACGGATATCACGTTTAAAAGAAATGAGTACTCACTCTCAGAGCTTAATTGGTCTCGTAAAGTCCCAATCAGTCTCTTCCAACACTATCACCAAATATTATTCAGATTATGGCACTGATGCTAAGGGTCCAAGCAGACAAACCATTTGGAGGGTCTATGCCACTAAGGTACTGGGCCTTGGGCCTGGTTGCGCGGACAAGGTTACCAGCGCCGGGGGAGGGATCCAGTTAAAACGAAGCTGTCCAACCAGTAGGCGCCCTCTCCGCCATCAGCTAACCTAAAGGACCACTAGCCCTCCCCTAGGATTCAGGGGTCAGGCAATCACGTCCATCAGACGCGAGGTACCTGACAACGTTGCCCGAGCCGGCCCAGCGCTAATGTACCTCTAGCCCCCCAGGGGCGGACTTGACAGCCCTCCATCCCG